CAAACAATAACAAATTACACATACTTAGTTACAAATATCAAATGTTATAAGATACCTAATCATATAAAAATCACAGCTAAGACATAATAATCACATAATTATTTATTACGACATACATGATCATATTTATTATTTACAAATTATACAATTAATCAATCATGTTCACTAATTTTCCTTGTCAAAAACCATACTATTTCTATTAGTCATACATCGCACAATTTCCCTTCCATTTTAAGTTTAGAGTATCACTTGCTAATCCCTTAACATTAGATAGAAATTTGAGGATTTACTTATTTATTATTGAAAGTTATTGACCAAATGTTTTATAGAATAGAAAATGAGGGGCTTCCTTGGCAAAATTGGAGTTAGTGCTCTAATATTCAGCATCCACTTAGACCCATTTCCTCCATTTGATACAAGCTCAAACGGGTAGCAGAGAACAGAGAACAAAAATGGGAAAGGAAGAAAAAAGAGAGAGAAAGAAGTGAGTATAGTTCATGTGCTCCATTGCTAAAACCAACAACCCGATAAAATGCTAATTACAACGTCAATTTGTTGCTCCTCATCCGCATCATCTCTCATTACGCCCCAAATTCACCTTAAAAAGTAGAGGTTTGCGGTGGCGGAGTCATTGGATTTGCATCACTTACTTCTTATCCAAAAAAGGTGCGGTCGTCACACTTATTGAAAAATCCCTTCGGCAAGATCGACAGTCACAATTTGTCTCTCTCACTCTAAGCTAAAGAAAGAAAAATGGTATACGAGAAAACAAAAGAAATTAAAACCCTAGATTTTGAGCAATGACAATGGCCGAACGATTAAGATTGGGTCTTCCAATCTTCCGTTCAATCCTCACCTTCAACACTATCTCCATCGTCGCCGTCCAAAGATCCACAACAGTGAAATCCCTCCTCTGACCTCTCATCAACACGGAATTATGGTTGATGGGAGTGGGTATGGTGGATTGGGACATTTGTGGAGAGAGAATTCGTGAAGTGGGAGAATTTGGTGGAATTGGTTTTCCTAAATTTTATACATAATAATATGTTATAAATATATGTAATATATTGTTGTAATTTATCACTTGATTTTTGAAATATTTTTTAAAGTTTGTTAAATGTGAAACCATATACTTAAATATTGTAGTTATGTATTTTCCCCTATTTTTTATTTAAACGGGCCGGTCCGAACTTGAGCGGAGCCAGCTCTAATATTTTCAAGGTCGAGCCACAGGTGACTGTAGCCAACAAGTACGATTACCATCTCTAGAAAATGATGATAATCTAGTGGAAAGGCTCTCAAAAGCAACATCTACAATGGACCTCATTTCTTAATTGCCCAACACTCTTAAATTGGTTTTAAATCTTGGGAAAATCCCTTTCAAATAGGCACTATAACTCACAATTTAAACCAATTTATTCGAAAAAAAATTCAAGTGCATTTATAAACCTACAAGGCCTAACGTTTCATTATTTTTATGAAAATAAGGGACTTTCCAAGAAACGGTGTTTGATCTTACCACCATTACAAGTTTTGGATAAAAATTCATTCTCAAAATTGATTTGTTAGCTATTAACTAAGAAGATATTTAAACGTAAATTGCATTTATTTATTTTTTCACCTTTTCATTGAAAAACTTTAAATGATTGAATCAAATCTTTAATTATTATATTTATCAAAATTTTTCATCAAACACTGAGTTATCATTTCTAGCTATTCATTAAAATGTTATTCTCTCTTAGTAGTATTTAATTCATTTGTACCATTTACTAATAGAGAAATTCAATTGTAAAATCATTGCTCTAAACTTGTGGGTTGTATTGATGTCTTGCGAAAGCTTAATAGGAGAAAGATCGATGCTCTTTGTTGTAAGTCATCGCGTGGATCGTATTGAGGTTACGTGAAAGCTCAATAGTGTGAGCCATATTGAGATCCTTTAAAACTCAATATTGTATAAGAATCGATGCTCCTTGTTTGTAAGTCACTGAAAGCATCGTAAATGGTTGAATTATACCATAGGTCAATCAATATAATGAAAAGTCAGTACCTATGCCGAAGAGTTTGGTAATGGAGGACATAGATCATTACTTTGGATCGAACTTTCACGATTATAACGTTTGCATCCTCTTTTCCATTTTATTTATCGCTTGCATATTTGTGTTTATTATTTGAATTAATTTATTTAGTCTTTATTTAGATAAATTCTTCGAAAAATTTTAAAAACCAATTCACACCCTCTTAATTAGTTATTCTTGGGCTTTTAAAATAAGTAGTTGAACAAAAATGGTGTTCAGCAAGTGTAGAAAATCTCAACAATCGTTAGACTTGGAGGGAGAACAACTGATGAAAGCCAAAGTTAGTCAATGAACAGAATTATTCGGATAGTTCACCTCCACGCAACAGCTAGTTCATACGCGACAAGAGAATGTCCAGGAGGTAAAATAGCATAGCCTTGCAAAGTCATATAAGTGTTGCGGGTCTAGCTATTTCCCTTGGAATAATTTTTTTTTTCTTGGTTTCACTAAAGGATTTACCGATTTAGTTGCTACGTGATATAAGGAATCTTATACTCTATAGCTACGCCAATCCTTATTTCAATTCAGAGCTTACGTGATATAAGGAGTCTGATAATCTAAGCAATATTTTATAGATGGTCTAACTTGATAGATCTGAGAGTAATCTAAGTTTTAATCTTTCTGAGTTATTTTATAGTTAAATAAAAAACGAAATATGAGATGCAATTCTTGCGGTTCTCTAATCAAGAAACACATAAACAACCTAAGAGCGTTGTGAGAAGCATAAAAATCTCTATTGCATTGTGACATCTTTGGTAAGGTAGGTCTATTTTAATGTATATGACATATTTGGTAAGGTTAATTTAAATAATACTAGACACTATTAAATAAAAAATGTTAATATTTTGGAATTATATTGTCTAGTGTTAATAATGCGTACCAAACATGCACTCAAGTTATCTGTTTAGCAAAGTCCCATAAATTTTACATTAAATTTAAGAATATACGCATAAAGAAAATAAAAATAGGAAAATTGCACGATTTTATTATACGTGTACTTTAATTCAACTTGATTCTTGTATGCTAGTCTTTTATTCATCAAATGTCAATAACAGTCTCTGGCTATATTGTTAGAATTGGGCTGTGACTCGAATTCTTGTTGAATATTTGATTGGATATACTGTTGGAGTATTATTGCGAGTTGGTAGTAGACTTGAAGAAGTCTTGAAGGAGTTCAAGAAGGATAAGGAGAATTATTCCCCTTTTTGGTAGTTTTTTGACTCTTATTTTATCCCAAATTCTTTATTACTGGTTTTACCCATTGTATTGGGACTTCACCTTGTGTTAAGCTCTTTATGTATTAATTATCCTAGTATGTTAGGGATTCTTTGGCTATGAATATGTGGTGTACAACACATATTGGAATTGACCAAACGTTCAATTAGTTGGTTTAAAAAGATCATTCGTAACTCCTTACTATTGATTATAGTGAATTTTCTATCCCCGTCTGTGGTTTTCCCGGATTTAGGTATCCATGTAAATATTATTTATTGTGTGATCTATTATTTTTATATTGTCCATATTTTATAGTTCTTTAATTCTTAGGCCCGATTATAACATATATGCCAAAACATATTGATAGAAAAAGATATCGAAAATTGGAAAGACATATAATATTGGAGATCTAAATGCCTTATTTAGCAAAGTAACAACATTCAAAAACACCATATTGGCAAAGCAGAAACATCTGGTCGCATATAAACTGAAATCTTGAATTTCTAATCAGTGGATCATTAGGTAATTTTACTTGCCTATGACTTTGGCATATCTGGTTAGCAAGGTTGACAGCAGAGATTAAGCCTAAAATGACCTCGGGTTCCATGGATGGATTTGCTTCATTAGAGTTCACTGTGGGATTTGATCCTGAAGAAATTGTTGCTAGAGAAATATTTTTCATAGAGGTTATATTACCTGGACCTGAAGAACTAAGCTTTGTAAAATCCGTCACCATTACCCCAATCCTCGCCGTCACATATTTCGTCCGTATTTGACCTTCATTTCCTAAAACTCATTTTCAACCACATATTTTATAGGATTCACAACTTTTATAAACTTCTCAATTATATATTTCATCAACTTTAATCAAAATTTATTAACAATCTAATTTTATATAAATCAAACATAGGCGATATCATCACCTCCTGCAATGGAGTGCAGAAGTCTTTGTGTGTTAAAGAAAAAATCCATTGTAAATTTTATTTTATTTATTTATTTTTATTTTTTTGACGTTTTAAAATTTGTTTATGCAGTCCTCATATTCTATAAATAAATGAGCACATGGGTCCACATACTGATTTTATTTGTTCTTTATTTTACTCAATTATTTGGTCGAGCTACCACATTCTTGTTGAATAAATTCATCACGAATAGGCTGTGGTTGTCGAGGAAGGAGAGTTTTCAATGCCAAAAAATATTATCCTCTCCTAACTCCATCTTTGACCGTCGTTGTCCTCAACATATATCTTCTTTTGCATTTATATTTTCAACCTTAGACAATTTTATCTCCAACATTCCATTTTTATTATTTAAGCTACCACCTTCCGTGGTCACGGCTTTTATCCTTAAAATTCGTTAAATTGGTATATAATGATAAATTTACCCTTAAAGAACTCCTGACCAACTCTACTCTTAGCGACCCACCCGAGACAACATTAAGCCGAACAGCAAATCTACATCCCACAATCCTAAAGGAGAAAAGAAAGAAAATCCGACACTTAGGAAGAAGATGAATTTTATTTCTTTGTTCTTTCTATTTTTGGTGTTTATCCTTTTTTATGTCTACAGTTAACTTGTCATTTTACGAGTTTTTAGATTAAAATGGGACTGCAGGGCTCCGTTGACAACTGAGCTAGCAAATAAAGGGGAAACACATAATTGCAAGAGGGAGAGATGTTTGCAATTTCCCCTTTCCATTCAACTACTGACTTTATAGGAAAGAGACTTCATTAAAGAAAACACAAAATTACAAGACAACAATCCAAAGGAACAACAGGTACCAATATTATTGACACCCAAAAAAAAAAAAAAATAACAAAATTCATTTCCACTCAACACAGACACAATTAAAATGTACAGAAGCAAGCAGGTTCCACATCACTTCTTGCAGTGGGATAATAGTTAGTTGCATAAGGATCAGTACAACCTTAAGGCACTCGAACATTATTTTCCCTGCATAAATAGCATAAAAAATTCAGATACGACATGTTTGGTAGGACAAAATTTTAGGTTTTTTTTTTTTTTTTTTTTTTTAAATAGTGTAAGCAGATAAGCTGATTTGCTTTTCAGATTGTGTAAGAATCTGAATACAAACCTCCTATCCAGGCCTGTAGGAGCAAGAGCTCTAGGAACTGAAGAAAGTTCCACTTTCAATAGCATCCTTGTTAGCATCTCCAAGTGCAGCAGAGCTCAAGTACTGGTCAGCCAATTGCACCCTCTTCACATTCTCCTGCTCCTGGACAAGCATGTTACCATACTGAAGAAGCTTCTCCAGGGTCATCTCTGGCTGCTCGAATGTTGGAGGTGCTTCCCTCGAGTTAACGAGCTTCTTGCCAATGCTGTCGACTCCGACACCACCAATCCACTTCCTTACTTCGTCATCATACACTCGTGCCCTCAAAGCACCAAAGAAATCTGCACATAAAACCAAGAAGATAACCGACATAATCAACCTGTTGTTCATCGTATACACTCGTGTAGTCAGAGGCGGCTCAACATTTGGGTAGGTAAGTAAGATGGCTTCCTAAGGCCGTACATTTAGGCAAAGTCCTTAAATTTTTTGAGAACTTTCATTCCACTTTTCTCTCATTTTCAATTATTTTGAAGGCCTGAAATTGTCTGAGAATCGTCTCTGCATGTAGCATGGAACAATCCCAATTCATTTTTATTTTTTATTTTTTTTTTGATCGGTAAACAAATTGCATTGATAAAAATGCCAGTTTTGTGTGATTGGAAGGTGGCTTACCAATGGATTGACCGGGGAAAGTGTCAACAAGTTTGACAACATCTTCATCAGGAACATTGTCAGTATGGAAAATACCCTTGCAAACACCAATACGGTCATCACGGGTGGGTGCCCAGTAGAATTTCTCCATACGACCGTCACGGATGAGAGGGGCATACAGTGTTGAGAAATCGTTACCAGTGACGATGATTGGGACACGGGGGTTATCCTCCTTGTTGTACATACCCGGGAGTTGCACGTTGGTCGGGTTATCAGCAATGTTCATGAGTGTAGCGTTAACCATCTGGTTGTTGACTGTGTACTGGGTGGTTCCACCAAGACGTCCGGCACCGGCATCAAGATCATTAATGAAGAGGCAGCACATTTTACCCTTCTTGATAATGTCAGACGCTTCACGGTACCTTTGCCTGATGAGCTTCGCGGGCTCTCCTGCATTTCCACTTTCCAGTTCTCCGGCGCTCATCATGATAGGGCTGACACAATGTCATGACTGTTAGAAACTATGAACGGAATATAATTGAAATGGAAATCATGTAAAATTAACAAACTCACTTGATTCCCATCTTGGCAAACACAAGCTCACACTGGAATGATTTACCCTGACCTTTGCCTCCCCAAATACCCAAGATAAGAGGAACCTGCAGTTATTAACATTATAATATCTTGAATTGCATAGATTTAGATTTTCCCAAGTTGTAATTGAAACCAGGAAATGACACCTTGATGTTAGGCAAGGTCATGAAGTTCTTGGAGATGTGGACAATAAGCTTATCCATAAAGGCAGGAGCAATGTAATATCCACTCATGGTGTTGTCAAAGTTGAACCTGTAGAAACAAGACCGGCTCAAGTTCTTCACGTGCATTATAGGTAGTTTCGATACTTAAACTTGGATCTTTGTGTACTTTAGTACCACCATCTAAGCTAAAACTTAAGTGGTTAGAATATTTAAATTTAGTCTTCAATACCCCACCCACCCACCTCCTGCTTTCCCTCTTTAGCCTTAGGAAAGCTAATTTTAAGAATGAGTGATTTTGTTCTTACGTGCGAAGTCCTTGGCTGACGTATTCGTAGGAGCTGAGGACTGCATCATGAGTTCCCATTCCCGTGGGAGCTTGGAAGAGTGAATCGACCATACCCTTTCCTCTGGTGATATCTTGTTGGTCATCGGAAACATCAGTGACAAGACCCTTCCATTTGTCCTTATCGGTCTGTTTACTCTCATCAATCTCGGCCACAACCTTGAAATTTCCTGATGAGGCCTTGGGAACATATGTCGAATTCGCCTTCTTCAAGCTGCTGCCTAAGAAGGCTGAGCTGGGGACTGCAGCTCCGGCCCCAGATCCATGCAAGTTCAGCTGCATCAAGAGAAGGATCATAATAATAATTCTTGCATTTTTTTCATCCGCAAACGAACAAGAAAGCTTTGCATATATCTCTCTCACCAAAAGACATTTCTTTTATGCAGTACACGACTGGACACTACACTGGATTATTTTAAACGTTTTTAATACTGTTAGTACCATATAATCCATCTATCGAGAGATCAGTGTCCCAGATATGATTAAATTTGCATAATAACATGCTTCATCTGCAGGAATTGGTGTACCCAAATCCATAGCATGACAAGTATACTTTACGTTGTTATACAAGCGACATTAAAGTAAAGAATACTGAGATATTTACTATGGCAAAATAAATGTATGTTACAGCTAACGGTTTAATCTTTTATCCTCTTTTATCCCTAGTATGAAAAAAAAATTAAATATTCAAACTTTAAGTTACACTAGAAACCAAGCGTGAAAGTTTAATGTTTTTTGACTTTTGACTAAGAAATTGAATATGAAACTCGCAAGTTGGCCTGTCGAAGGTTAAATATAATTATTTTTCTCTAATAGGTTAAATTTTCAGACGAAGTCGTTAAACCAGATAAACCCAATTTCAAATTTATATAAACAGAGAAAGTACTAAAATTGAAGAATAAACTATGGAGTCTACAAGTGCAGCGACAAAAGTTTGATACGTGGACCGTAGGAGACGGAACTAAAGAAAAACTAATTGGAATGACGATAGTTGTATTATGCAATATTAATGTTCGGATTTGTCAGTCAAACACGATCATTGACAGATCTTGTTGACAGGTCGAGGTGTTGGCAACACCTCGGCCATTGATTATGTATGCGTCGGCCCCATGTGCTGCAAAATCGAGGGCCGAGGTCGCGGCACCTCTGCCTGAATTTAAACCCAAGATTTAATTTTGAGTTGTGTAGCAGGGTTTATTAATGTTTACGTTTACGTACTTAAAAGTTCAATGAAAACAAAGAGATAGTTAATTACCGGTACACGGTTGACTGCTCCGACAGTTGAGACTGCTGTCGCCATAATATCCAATGATGATCCGACGGATGTAATAATAGTAAATGAAAAGTTTTGTACTGAATTAAAGCAGGAGCTTCTACTGTGAGGAGGCAAAGTGCAATGGGAGGAGTGTATATATGAGGATTGTACACAAATTGGACTGGCTTTTGAATTCGTAACGGCCACACAATCAAGATTTCAAGCTGCCACGTGGCAAATGAAGATTGAATAATCCATTGTTCGTTGGGCTAGAATTTTAGCTTCGCTCTTGTCCACTTAATTTTTATTCCTTTACTTGCTACATAATCTATTCAATTTTATAGGTCCAAATTTGGTCTGTGAATAAAAACAGAAGGGAAAGGATTGTAATTTTCTAGATAATGTTTTTTGTTTTAATTTTAATGGTTTACATTTGTGAAAACTAGTAGTTTAATTTGTCCCCATTGAGACTTGGCCAGATAGAGTGTTCTTGGTCGAAATTATTACGGAAATTTGCAATGTCGATCATCAACTTATTGTTCACGCAGTGAACCAACACACAACCTTTAAAATAAACAAATTGGTTCACAACCACAACCTTTGCTATAGTGGCACCATTAGTATATCCAATCGTGGAAATTTTCAAACTTTTATAAACTAGTCAAGTGGTCTCATTTGTCCAACTTTATAAATGTAGGTCTTGTTTTTCAATTTAGGCTGGTGCAATGGGATTTGAAGTGAGTCATGTTTCTATGAATATAACATAATTTTGATATACTTTTTCATCGGTGAGGACTGACTATGCAACTATGAAAAAAAACAAAAACAAAAAAAACAAAAAAAAACCAACTTCTATTCATACAGTAAATTAGGGACTAATGATGAAATTTTTCCAATTATGGGAATTTTCTCAAGTTATGATTTTCAAGAAATTAGTCCCCTTATTTGCTCACCAATTCCAATTAGTCCTCAAACTTCGAATTGACCCATTTTTCAATTTGTACTTGTTATTCTTCTTTGACTATATAAATATATGAATAAATCATAATAACAAAAAGTAGAATGCGATATTGAAGTTCAAATTCGTAACAACCAAAGTTGCAATGTTTATCTTACAAAACAAAAGACAAAACATCAACAATTTCCCAATAATCTTATCCATTGAGAGGCCTTGAAATTGGACTCATATTTGTCATTAAAAATGACATATTTTGTACGTTAAAGTATATAAATGAATAAACCAACTAATGAGTTTTAGTGAGGGAAAAAACCATAGTTCAGACACTAAGTATACACCCAAGCATATATCAGGTGCATAGTTTGAAGATTCAAAAGTCAAGTGTGTGTGTATATATATATAGTTACAGCCGTTTCCTAAAATTACGCCTAGTTCCCTTCTATATCATGACTCATTTCAGTACAAAATCGACATCCCAAAATTGAAAAATTCAGCTGGCATTCTGCGTTCTCATCGTGAAATCCTATTTCGGTCGCCGACGATAACGACGCAGGTAACGGTTATCACTGATTTCGATGATAAATTTCAAAATCTCACCCGCGATTGAAACTTCGAGTCACATACTCCGAATTTGTGTTCGGCTAATCGAATACAATTGTGAGAGACAAGAATAATCATTGAATTTCAAACTACGATTATCAATTTATTAATACGGTCATATTTGCAGCATAAGAAATCTAACATTAGTCACATAAGTCCTGATCATCGCTGAAAATAGAGTACAGGTACGTACTTCGACAAATGATCTGATATCTGACTATGTGACCAATGCGTGTATTGTATGTAATGTAATATGAATGCCACATATGAGACATGTGATGAATGAATTAAAACGTGTCTCAACAATATTGAAATTCATATTTTTTGTGATTCATTTTTTGAAGAATGTGACCTGAATCACTCAGTATATAGAACTACTGCGCATAATCTGAGTGAGACCATTGAGTTACATGATCTGTGACCCATGTGATATTCAGTTATATTCATTCTTACACTAATATGACATGAATGAAAACACTCGTAAAATTAAGTGCACGCTGTATATGTGACTAATGCGCATACATTGTGTATGTGAATTGTAATTCCTAAACTGTGATTTATGTTTCTACCATGCATTCGACATTATGGAAAACGTGCATGCCTATTATTTTAGGAGTTCATACACAAACTCTGTCAATCGTTACACTTTCATCACTAGACCACTAACAAATGTAAATTTAATTTGCAGAAATGGTGTACTTGCACGTGTGCTTGTTGCATGCATCTTAAACTTCCTTGGTGTTGGTAGATCGAAATTGCAGATATGTAAACCTTGTGGACACAGTAATGAAGGAGTTCGATTTGGATCCTACAAAGATAGCAGTCTCATTGAAGTACACACTGAATGAAGATTTACCTCCAATTAAAATTAGAAATGAAAGTAATGTGCTCTCTTACATCATGCTCAAGGATATGGAGCGCAAACCTACTAAATACCCATTAATCATTGATGTTGCAGAGGTAGAAGTAGATAAACTGTCTATCACACTGCCAGTTAATCCACATGCTGTTGGTGAGTTATGTACGTTGCAGGATATAGCATCAGACATTTGCGAAACAACAATTGAAAATATAGGTCACATTGATGACAACGAAATCACAGTTGTTTATGTTGCAGATGGTAGAGATGTCGAAGAAGAAAAGGTTTTCTATGATAAAGATATTTTAAAGTTAAGTCTGTCACTTTTTGCCATACAGAATATGTTTGAGTTTATGGTAGAGCGGTCAGACAAGAAAGAATATATTGTGAGGTGCTCATAAGAGGGATGTAGTTGGATATGCAGAGCATCCAAATGGGGTAAAACAGAACTGTTTAAGATTCGGAAGATTGGCAGTCACACGTGTGCATCAAATGTAGTGCTGGGGTCACACAGGCAACTATCAGCTACAGTTTTGTCCTCTAACATCAAGTACAAGTATACGTCATCTCGTACTATATACACACTGAAGGATATATGCAGTGATATGTTGCATACTTATGGGGTTTATTTAAATTATTTGAAAGCGTGGAGATCTCGTGAGCAAACCCTAAAGATGATAAGAGGTGATCCGACCGATTTGTTCGGTAACATACCAAGGTTTTTCTACATGGTTCAACAAAAGAATCCTGAGACGGTCACAAACTTGGAGGTTGACAGTCACAATCGCTTCAAATATTGCTTTATGACACTTGGTGCATCAATACGCGACTGGAAACACTGTAGGCCTGTAATTGTGGTTGACGGTACGTACTTGAATGGTCACTACGGAGGTACACTTTTCACAGTATGTACGCAAGATGCAAGTAACAGTGTATTCGTCCTTGCATCTGGGATTAGAGATAATAAGAACGATAAATCTTAGAGATGGTTTTTAGATAACCTGAAAAAGGCGTACGAGAACAGATAATGGCTATGTTTTGTATCAGATCGGCATAATAATATAAAGAATGCAATAGAACATGTGTATCTGGGAACCTATCATGGTATATGTTCGTACCATTTGCTGCAGAACTTGAAGTCACATTTTGGGAAATCTGGACAAAACATTACACAAGCTTTCAATTCAGCTGTCAGAGTTTACACATTGGAAGAGTTTGAATATCATATGCGGCAACTAGACACAATGAATCAGAAGATTAGTGCTTACCTGGTATTGCAATACTTCAATAAAAATTTTCACAAAACATTGGAATTGTTACATATTGTAGTTATATGATATTACTCAATGCAATACATGTTTGCAGGTTAAGGTTGGACCTGAAAAGTGGTCACGAATCCATATGCTAGAAAATAGATATTCAACAATGACATTGAACATCGTGGAATTAGTTAATGCAGTCACAAAGGCAGCCAAAAATTATCCAATCGTATCCCTACTGGAGTCATTACGACAAACTACGCAAAACTGGTTTTGTAAACACAGAGACAATGCGCATGGGACTTTCACAAAGTTGACAAGCAAATACGAAAACGAGATCAAAAAAATGAGTATAAATTTAAAGAACCTAAGGGTAAGTTTTAATTTTGACGATAACAACTACTCATATGATAGCTGCATGAACTAATGTGACTTGAAATTCACATCTGTGATAACATATGTTTGTATGCTAATGCGCTTTTTATATATGTGACCTCAACTCAATGCATGTGACATTTCTATACAATCTTGTGATATTAAACTGTGCAACTACATATGACCTTTTCATATAATTCTGTGACATTAAATTGTGCAACTGTGACTTACTCAGATATATAATTTGTGACATACACCTCAAGACTGTGACTGCTGGGTAGATACTTGTTTGAAGTGACATAATTTGTCCATTTGATTATATTCTCCAAGGTTTTTCCTTCCAACCAGTCAGTGTTTTCTGTTAGCAGTGATAAGACAACTTTTGTTGTTGATATTAAGAAACAGACATGCACATGTGGGATGTTGCAAGTTGATTTGTTACCATGTCCACAGGCATTGGCTGTAATTGCAAATACAAAAAGGGATCCATATACTTTCTATTCTTATTATTACACACGTGATGCATACTTGAACGCATACGAAGACTCTATATATCCTGTTGGAAATCCATGCCAATGGACATTGTCTAAAGAAGTGCAACATGAAATTGTCTTAGCTTCTAACCAAAAATGGAGTTGTGGAAGGTCAACTGAGAAGAGGAAGAGATCATCCAGAGAAGGGAAACCAACAGTGAAATGTGGGCGCTGTGGAGGACATGGTCACAATCGTAGGAGATGCTCCAGTCTTGTCCCATTGAGCTAATATTAGTCAATGCAATACATTCCAATAGTGCTGAATATATGTGACCATTGTGTTTTTGAAACATTCATTTGTAATACAAGATTGACGTCATATGCAATCCATTGTTTTTTCAACTGTGCAAAATCTTATTTGAGTCTGAGTATTTGTTTGTTAATACAATCATTCAGACATGGTCAAAAGTTATGTAATCTAGTTGGTTGTGAATCCCTATTCCTCACATAGCAGGACCTGTGACCTGATGTCAAACACATAAACGCTGTTATTGCATTGTGTGGTCATTGCTTATTCAGAACTGTGACCTGATGAATCATATATATGCATGTGATCAAATTTCAAAGACGTGACCAATGGTTTGAAAAAAAAAATTGAGATATGACTTCGTAACAACTATGTGACCAAAATATGATGAACATGTGACCTAAATCTTATGTAAATGTGACCAATAATAAATACATGTAATCACCTAACAGTTTTGAGACATAATGTGATGACATGTGACACAAAATAGAGTTATCTGTGACCAATAACGCAAAAAGGATTAAATTTGACTCCCAAAAAAAAGTTATGTACCACTAAATTAAGTTATCTGTGACATTCTCTAATAATAAAAGATCATGTAAAGTAACCGCTTGTGATTATGTAATCGGTAATCCAGTGCAAAGCAACTCATGATCTGTGACCAATCTTCAAATGTGACCATCCATGTGGATATAAACCCAAAATAACCTGTGACCAAAATATAACAGTTCACGAAAGCAATTTCTGTGGAAAACAATTACTAGATTTTATAATTTAAAAAGTGATGTTGTCATATATTTCACACGTAAAATTTCGTGTACATAGCAACAAGACAATCCACTTGAGAAACAACGACAAAAATATAAAAAGCCATGTGTGTACAGATCACAAAAGCTACCAACTAAAATTTCATCTTCCTAACACATATGATGTCATTCTATAACCATCATCTCCTCCATTAATCCCTGCTTCGCATGCTTCACGTACATCTCCCGATATTTGTAGAGTAGTGCAGCAATTAGAAACATCCCCTGCCCCGCCTCGCCTTAGGCGGGGTAGGGCGGGGCACGGTCACGCCCCGTTTACTGCCCCGTAACATTCCCCCCCCCTCAAATTCACAATTTAAAAACGTTAACATCCAAATTAAATACTCTAAACAAACAATATCCGAAAATAAACAATTACAAATACAATTACATTGTAACTAACTTTCACTTCTTTATCCAAAATTAAATTTGTTGTTTTTCCATCTTTATAACTTCATTCATCGACAGGTTCAGAGATTGTAGAAGATGGATCCTGAAAAACGAAAGAAATATTATACTTAATATCATCATAAATTCATAATAACGATGATTAAAATTTAAATTATGTAATAAATAAAATTACCTCCTCATCATTCATCTTGGAACAACTTCCAAAATATGCAGATGGCGCAGAATTCGCTATTAATAAAATAAAATAATTAGTAATAAGAAAATTCATAAAAGAAACAATATAAAAAGCAAATGTTTCTATACATCGTACCGTGAATATCGGCCCATAACCAATCTTGAGCATACATTAAAGCCTCCAACGTTTTGGGGTGAAGTCTATTTCTGTGTGGACTAACAAATCTACCACTAGTACTGAAAGCAGATTCGGATGCCACAGTAGATACCGAGATGGCCAAAATAACTTTTGCAATTTGAGATAAAGTCGGATATTT